TCTTTTGGGCCCTGTGTTCTCTTTCCGTCTTCTTCAACTCTGTCCCAAGTGTTCAAAGTTGCTGCATGGCATAGAGTCAAGTCATATAGAGACTGTCTTTGTACATCAGCAGTTCCGTCTCATAGAGTGGGCCTTAAATTCGTTTTTTAAAAAGTTGTTGGTTAATCCATAACATTTCTGTAACTAATGTACCAGAATATCTTCCAGACAGGCCACTGTTGTAGGTCAAAGGGTTTAAAGCTAGATAATATTGATGGTTACTTTTCTCCTCTGGTAGCATGTTCTACCAACCCTTTTCTTTTGGGTCACCAATCAGCTCCCAAATCATGACACAGAGAATTGCTAGTTTTAAATGCTTGGTGTAGTCTAGGCACATTTTCTGGCTGGCTCTTTTAACTTAAATTAACCTGTTTCTTTGTCTACCTTTTGCCTCAGAGCTCATTACCTTTCTTACTTCTGTATATCTTCTCTATATCTGCTGGTTGGCTGGTGGCTGCTTGGCTTCTGATCCCAGGCATTTCTTTCATTCTGTCCTCTTTCTCTCTCTCTCCCCTTCCTTTCTTTTCTCTCAAGCCTAGATTTCTCCTCCTATTTATTCTCTGCCCATCAGCCCTATTTATCTCTCTCCTGCCTAACTATGGGCTGTTCAGCTTTTTATTAGACCACTCAGGAACCTTAGGCATAGACATAAGGAGCACACCTTTACGAAGTTAAAATAATATTTCTACAGCATAAACCTTCCGTTTCCTTATCTGGATGCCTTCATTCTCCTGGAAAGACAAAAACAGAACCCTGCCCCAACCCTAACTTTGGGGGCATTTCCTTTTTGGCAAGTTATATCTGATCCAGTGGAAAGCATTTGTTAGTTTTATATGTTAGTTTAGATTGGATGGTCATGATGTCTGATGAAGTATCACGTCTTCTAATCAAGAGGTCTTATTTGAATTTAATTTTTATAATATTTTTTATGGTTTTATGGTTTCTCCTGAAGTTTTTGTTTTATCTTCTAAAGCTGTTCTATCATTCAGAGCACAATGTTTTGTTTTGTTTTGTTTTGTTTTGTTTTTTACAATAGGCATTAGGTCCTTTAATTGCTCTGGGAAGAAGTTTCCCCCATGGTGACAGGGAACAGTTGGACCATACTTAACACATGGGGGCCTGGGAGAGGTCCCCTAAAGTGTTTCCCCATGGCAAAGGCTTACCTTGTCTGTCCCTTGTTGATCTATATTCATTGGTCCAACGACAGCCTTTGCTGCAACTTTGGCATACTCCAGAAGGCAGGAGCCTTCTGTTTTTCTGTTTGGATTATTCCTAGAAAAAAAAGATGTTTCTAGAGATACCCTGCCTACAATTCTTTTTTAGATGACCTTGCCACAATTAAAACACCTGACATTGTGATTTTTCTTTGAGCCTTTGGAAATCACCTCTCTGTCCAAGCATCATCATGGTTATGAGATTCAGTATTGACTATTTCTCAGATCCATTCCTCTATGGGTGCTTATCTTGCCTTTAAAGGCCTAATTACCCCTTTGCATTGAGAATTAGTATTTTCAAAAGCTGAAAATTCAATTATGATTGTCAAGCTTGTAGATTTGGTATCATCCCATTTACAGCTGGAGTCAATCTTTGTAAAAAAAAAAAAAAAAATCAGTGAAGGTTTCTTTTGGGCCCTGTGTTCTCTTTCCGTCTTCTTCAACTCTGTCCCAAGCGTTCAAAGTTGCTGCATGGCATAGAGTCAGGTCATATAGAGACTGTCTTTGTACATCAGCAGTTCCGTCTCATAGAATGGGCCTTAAATTCGTTTTTTAAAAAGTTGTTGGTTAATCCATAACATTTCTGTAACTAATGTACCAGAATATCTTCCAGACAGGCCACTGTTGTAGGTCAAAGGGTTTAAAGCTAGATAATATTGATGGTTACTTTTCTCCTCTGGTAGCATGTTCTACCAGGCCTTTTCTTTTGAGCCACCAACCAGCTCCCAAATCATGACACAGAGAATTGCTAGTTTTAAATGCTTGGTGTAGTTTAGGCACATTTTCTGGCTGGCTCTTTTAACTTAAATTAACCTGTTTCTTTGTCTACCTTTTGCCTCAGAGCTCATTACCTTTCTTACTTCTGTATATCTTCTCTATATCTGCTGGTTGGCTGGTGGCTGCTTGGCTTCTGATCCCAGGCATTTCTTTCATTCTGTCCTCTTTCTCTCTCTCGCCCCTTCCTTTCTTTTCTCTCAAGCCTAGATTTCTCCTCCTATTTATTCTCTGCCCATCAGCCCTATTTATCTCTCTCCTGCCTAACTATGGGCTGTTCAGCTTTTTATTAGACCACTCAGGAACCTTAGGCAGGCAAGTTGAAACAGATGCAACAAATCTTTCCATAATTAAACACACATTCTTACATTGTTAAACCAATTCGGCATAGACATAAGGAGCACACCTTTACGAAGTTAAAATAATATTTCCACAGCATAAATAAATGTAACACATTTTTGCCCAGTTAAAATAATAATCCACTAAAACGTGCAAAGTACCTTGCAGTACCATGAATGCTAGTCAGTAGAGGTGAAGCTTATGGTTTGGCAACAGCTCTGTTTCTCCATGGTCAGTGACACAAGTAAGTTGGTTTTCAGAAGTAGGGTCTTACTGTCAGGTTATGGAAGGAAACCAGTAGCCCTGGCAGCAGCCTGTGATGTTTTCAGAAGGGAACTATAAGACTCCTTTGGCCAATAACTTATTAAGATATAGCCCGTTCCTGGAGGTTTTAACTGGTGCTATATGATGTCTAGTTGGGGCATTGCCTCCCTCATTATATGTGACTCCATTATTATTTTTTATTTTTTTATATGTGACTCCATTTAAATCCCTTTCATATATGTATATATTTTAGAAAGCTTCTACAATTGAAGGCCCCTGTTCCATACAGTGAGTTCAAGACCAACCTGTGCTATATAGTGAGTTCAAGGCCAGCTTGGGTAACTTATTAATAAGACCCTGTCTCAAAATAAAAAGTTAAATGAGGCTGGGATGAGTCTGAAATAGATGGTAACTAGTAATTTTTAAACCACCTGGAGCTAGAGAGCGGGCTCAGTGTTCAAGAGTACTGTGTGCTCTTCCAGAGAGGATCCAGGTTTAGTTCCCACCCAATATTCTGTTCCATACAGTGAGTTCAAGACCAACCTGTGCTATATAGTGAGTTCAAGGCCAGCTTGGGTAACTTATTAATAAGACCCTGTCTCAAAAAGTTAAATGAGGCTGGGATGAGTCTGAAATAGATGGTAACTAATAATTTTTAAACCACCTGGAGCTAGAGAGTGGGCTCAGTGTTTAAGAGTACTGTCTGCTCTTCCAGGGAGGATCCAGGTTTAGTGCCCACCCAATATCCACATCACAACTTTCAACCTTCTCTAACTCTGGTTGTAGGGGACACAGACATCCATGCAGCCAAAACACCCATACACATAAAATAAAAATTTAAAAGACAAAAACAAAGCACATGCTTCTATAGTGTAGTGTCCATTAGAATTCTATTAAAATTGACCACAAAACTAGAAAAAAAATCCTAAAGTTCTTATGAGTGTACAAAAGACCCTGAATGGCCAGCTTAATATTGAGCAAAATAAACAAGCAAAACAAGCCAGTGTTGGATCTGTCACAATACATTTGACAGAAAATGGTATACTAGCACAAAAGCAAATAGGTAACCAGTGGTTTGGGTTTTTCAAGACCACCCCACTATGTAGTCTAGGCTGGCCTTGAACTGCCATAGTCCTCCAGCCCCATTCAACCTCCTTCTTGCTTGGACAGCAGGCATGTTTCACCATGCCTATTAATTACTCCATTCTTCATGTTTGCTTTTGAAGATGAGGTAAGTTAAACTCTATAATTAGATGATGTTTTAGGTAATTATTTTAATGGTGTGATAAAGGTTGTCACACATTCTGTCTTACATTGTGTATATATTGTATCTTAAAATGCAGAGTAATACTCCATTCTTCATGTTTGCTTTTGAAGATGAGGTAAGTTAAACTCTATAATTAGATGATGTTTTAGGTAATTATTTTAATGATGTGATAAAGGTTGTCACACATTCTGTCTTACATTGTGTATATATTGTACCTTAAAATGCAGAGTAACCAACATCCCCAGATGGTTTGACTATCAGCAGATTCTTAAGATTACATTCTAGTGAACCTGTGTCTCTCTGCAGTATTAAAATTACTCTTGTTTAGTCAGTGGGTCAGGAGTGAGCAGGAGGTCTAGCAAGGTGTTTACAGAGGGGACCTTGATTTGGACTTCATATTCAGAGGAGGGTTGGCCTTCCTGATAGAAGGAGTTGATTACTGAATGTGTGGACATTTAGAGATGTGTAGTTTCTTCCACATCTAAAATGCTTTCCTCTTATCTGCCAACAGGTACTACTGTAACTGCTCTAAAGTTGTTTAAGAATCTACCTGTGAGAAAGCAATTTTACTCAACCTCGAAAAAGTGTAAAGATGAACTGAAAAATGTCCAGGATCTCCTCATAAGCTACAGTGTCCTTAAACCTGACATAAGGATTGTTTTTGCACATAATAAGGTGAGCATTAGTATATTGTGTAAGAAATTTTTAGAGCAAATTTTAGAGCAAAATTTTTAGATGGTATGTCCTGTATAAATCGGTTAGATGCTTGCCATGCAGTGGGCATTTGCCATATCCCACAACCCTTCTTCATTTGTGGAAAATCTAATCACTGATGTGAAGACCATGGAGGCAACTAGGTGATGAGGAAAAACCCTCATGGATTGGTGTTTTCGGAGAAGCCCAGAGAGCTGCTTCCATCTCCCATCACCCAGGGACAGGGAGAAGGAGCCAGGAGTTGGCTCATCAGAAACAGACTTACCAAGTATCTTATCCTGGCTTTCCCAACTTTCTTTGGTATGAGAAATAATTTTCTTTTGTTTACTTGTGCTGTTTGTGGTATTTTTTCTTACACCAGCTCAAAGATGAATTTATATAGCTATGAGAAATAATTTTCTTTTGTTTACTTGTGCTGTTTGTGGTATTTTTTTCTTACACCAGCTCAAAGATGAATTTTTTTTTTCACCCTCAGTAAAAATTGGTCCATGTCCTTTCAGTTTTGTCTCTAGTATAACAAGAGCACTGAAGACCTATGGGAAGTCTACTAGACTTCCAAACCTCACACTTTGTAGTATCTGCCATCAGTGATTCCCGTAGACTTTCAACCAGGAACAGCTCTGGGGTGCTTCCCTTAGGCAGGTGACATTTGAAGACCAGCACTTCTTAACCCTTTGAGACCTCACCATGTAGCAACATGTCTCATCTTCCAAAGTTGCTTAAGATTTTCTAAAGGCCATCCTAGCTCATTTCCTTGTGTTTTGCAGGGAAGGACTGATTAGGTAAAGGGATTTGTCTTGTGTAATGAGTCTTGGAGGAAAGAAAGGTTTATATCATTTTTTCCTTAATCCCACGCAGCACATTGAAAGTCAATGGAAGGAGAGCAGACCACACAGTAGTAGATGGGAAATGAGGACTTAACATTTAGTGAGGATCTGCATAAATACATCTATCTGTGTAGACCTGGTGCTTCAGTCTGTGTTGTCCTCACTGTATGTGCAAATGAGCTGGCAATGCACCAGTTTGCAGTTGACCTCTAAACTGACCTCGTAGGACTTTAGTGTGTTGCTCAGAGTTGCACGACTGGTAAAGGGTTGGGATGGGATTGGGAACCAACCGGGCATACCTTGGAGTGTCAGTTCTTCTCACTTACTGTGTTCTCTTCCCATTTTACACTCATGAATTCCTCTTTATGCTTTAGAATACTTACAGTAACTGAAGTAAATAGTATTACCTGTACTTATATGAGGAACTTAAAGCTCAGAGTGATAAAGGAATTCTTTCATAAATTTTAGTGAGTGACTGTGTTCAGCCACAACCTTTTAAATTATTTCTTTTATTATAATATTTAAATATTATAGTATAATTTTATTGTTTCCCCTTTCCTTTCCTCCCATCAAATCCTCCCTTACACCCCTCATTTCTGTCTTTGTGGTGCATGGCTTCTTTTTTCATTAATTGTTACATACATACATGTATATACACATATATATTCCTAAATACATTTGGTCCAGTCTTACTTCAGTTTTTACTAACTTGTCAGAAGAATCTTTATCTTTGTGCCATGCAAAATGTCTATGATGAAAATCTTTAGTCATCTTAAAAAAGGAAAAATGAAGCCGAGTCAGCCACCTGTTCCTGCTGGCAGAGAGCTCTACCAGATGATATCTTGAGACCCTTCCAGCTCCACTGTGCTGAGGCTCCTCTGGTCGTTGATGGACGGAGGCTCATCTGCTAAAATAACCCTGTGACCTCTGATCCAGAGGACATTTAGTAATTAGAAGTTAAATGTCTCCAAGTTAAGAAAAGACCAAGGTCAAGAGAAACATAATCAGGAAGGGAAGGCAGGTTAAAAAAATTAAGATAAAGAGGAAAAAGAATTACACATTCATAAACAACTAAGTGATATAAAACTAAAGAGAATAATTTAAAGAGAAAGTAAAGGAAAGGTAAAAACAGGATGGAGAAAGTGAGCATAACAGAAGTTGATCATAAGAAGAGTTGTTACTTAGAATCAGGTGTATGTAGTCTAAGTTTTCAGGTTTATGTAATTTTCTTAGCCAGTGATGGATTATCAGAATAGACATTTTCTTCTGAGAATGGAAAGCAGAATTTTCTAATATGCTACATTTTATTGTTTGGTGGGGTTGGGGGGGACACAACATCAGAAACTACTTGAAGCAAAGTCAAGTCCCTCTGTGGCCTTCAGTCCTTTCAGTTGCAGTCCAGATCCTAGTATGTCTGTTGAGAATGTTATACCATGAACATAGTAGGTAATTAACCCAAGTCTAATAGTAAAATTGCTAGGTGTTATAACCACAATCACGGACTGAGTGGGATAAGCTTTCTACTTCCAAATCTATTTCCATCAGTATACACAACTGTTCTTCTTTTGTAAAAATAGTACTATTATGCTTCAAAAAATATTAAAATACACTGTTAGCCTTCCACATGGTATTGACATGTCACCTACATGTGCACACTGAGCCCTGCTCTGCTCTCAACTGTTCTTTTAAACATGCTTACTTTCATCACTCTGTGCTCTGAAAGATTTTTGTCTTTGCCTAAAATTTAAGTATAATGATATTAATGTGTTTACTTTTTTGCATTAGAAGCAAATAATCTTACTGCACATAATATGAGAAGTACACTTGCTATTTTGATAACTTGGATTAGCTGGTGTTCCCTCTTTTTATGAAGGTTTAACCTGCCAAGACATTCTCTGAATACTGATAATGTTGATGTTCTTGCCAGTATGGTTATGTTAGAAAGAAGTATTTTTCTTCTTTCATCACCACGTTCCTTGAAAGCATATTGAATAATGAGACAGCCAAAGTATAATCAGCGAGTTTATTTAAAGTAGATATTATTTGGAGAATTGCTAGATTCAATTCTCATATGAGCACTAATATTTTTAAGGGTTAGTGTCAATAACTAAATACCTATGAAGTTCTGCTCCATTTTTCACTTATAAATTAGTTACTTCTCAGAATTAAAAAGGCTTTTCCAGTCTGATGATATTGGAATTCCTGATTATTACATATGAATAAAAAATCTTTAGGTCACTAGTTTAGAATGTTATATTCATGGTTTCTAATGAGGGCTTTATTGCTGTTATTTTTTTCTTCTCACAAATACAATACATTCCAACCATAGCCTCTCCTCTTCCCACCCCATCCTCACCTCCCTTCTCCCCCAGATATGTTTCCCTTTAGAAGAGAGCAGTCCTCCTATTATCAATTATTGTATGGTGAGGGGACTTTCTTTTCTGGTCCAGTCTTTTATAGACAAGGTTTTCTTTAGGTTAGGAAAATTTTCTTCTATGATTTTGTTAAAATTATTTTCTAGGCCTTTGAGCTGGGATTCTTTTCCTCTATCCCTATTATTCTTAGGTTTGATCTTTTTAAAAAAATGATTTATTTTTTTTTTGATTTCACGTGCATTCATGTATGTTTGTGTAAAGATGGCAGCTCACCTGAAACTGGAGTTACAGATAGTTGTGAGCTACCATGTGGTTGACTAGGAATTGAACCCTGGTCCTCTAGAAGAGCAGCCAGTGCTCTTAACCACTGAGCCATCTTTCTCTCCAGCTCCAGGTTTGATCTTTTTATAGTGTCCCAGATTTTCTGTTATGTTTTGTGTCAGGAATTTTTTAGATTTAACATTTTCTTTGGGCAATGTATCTTCAGTGCCTGAGATTCTCTCTTCCATCTCTTACATTCTGTTGGTGATGGTTGTATCTGTAGTTCCTGCTCACTTACCTAGATTTTCTATTTCCAGAATTCCCTCAGTTTGTTTTCTTAATTGCTTCTATTTCCATTTTTAGGTCTTAGACAGTTTTATTCATTTCCTTCAACTGTTTCTTTGTTTTTGTTTTTGCTTTTTTTCTTGGCTTTCTTAGGGATTTACTAATTTCTCCAATTTCTTGATTATCTTTTTCTTAATTTTTTTAAAGGATTTACTTAGTCTCTTTTTTCTCTCCCTCCCTCTTCCCCCTCTTTTCTTGGAGACAGGGTTTCTCTGTATATCCCTGGCTGTCCTGGAACTTGCTGTGTACACTAGTCTGTCCTTTAACTCACAGATCTGCCTGCCTTTGGCTCCCGAGTGCTGGGATTTAAGGTGCGCTTCTTCATTGCCTGGTTATTCACTTCCTTAAAGCCAACTTGATGAAGATGATAGAGGCCCTTATTCATCTTCATATAGTTGGTTTTAAAGTCCTTTTCTTGTGCTTCCAGCTGTGTTGGTGTATTCAGGGCTTGCTGTGGTATGATACTTGGGCTCTGGTGGTGACATATTGATTGCCCTCTCAGCTGCTGATTGTGTTATTACTCTTTGTGTAGGCATCTAGGTTTGTGGTGATTATAGGTCTAGGTGCCGATTTCTGGGTTTGTCTTTGTTGGATGAGTGTTTTGTTCCTTGGTTTCTGTTTCTTCTCTGATCTTCTGGCCACTCTGGCCCATGGTTGAGCAGAGGGCCTCCACCTGAATTGGGGGCTGCACTTCTGTTGGCTGGCATGGCATCTCTCGTTAAGCAGGGTGTCTCCACCCAAGTTGGGGGCAGGAGTTTTGGTGGCCTGTGAGGCCCTGAATAAACAGGGAGTCTCCACCAGAGTTGCAGGTCAGTACAGGGTGACAAGCGAAGTGGGGTAGGGGAATTGGGGATAGTGTTTTGTGGGGCACCAAGAGGGTGGGGGAGGTCTGTGGTCTGGCAGACTACCTGGAGTTCTGGTGGCCTCTATGGCCTCTAGTCCAGCAGGGTATGTCTGTATGAGCTGGGGCTAGCATATAGCAATGAGGAAGGTGACTAGGGATAAGGCGGGCAGCTTACCTGGTCTTCTGGAAGGAGTGGCCTGTGACTGAGGGGACCCCCCCACCCCCCGGCAGCCCCTTTTCTGCTTTCAGGTCACGTGCATTTCATTTCCCTCCTCTTCCCTCCTCCCAGCCCTCTCTGAAGACCAGACT